GAGACTATAGTGCTAAGTAAAATAAGCCAATCCCTAAAAACCAAGGCAAATGTCCTCTCAGATATATGGATGCTAACACACAATAAGGTGAGGGTAGAGAACAGAAGTTCATTGGATTAGACAAAGGGGAATGAAGGGAAGGAAGTAAGGAGGAGATTAGGAAAGAGACAGTATAATGAATCAGACATAACTTTCCTATGTTCAGTATGAATATACGTGACCAGTGAACTTCATATCATGTACAATCACAAGAATGAGATCCTAATTAGAATAAGTTATATTCCATGTATGTATGTCAAAATGCACTCTACTGTCATGTATATCTAAAAAGAACAAATAAAAAAGTGAAAAAAAGAATACAAATAACAATGTTGGTGAGGATGTGGGGAAAAAGGTATACTCATACACTATTGATGGGAGAGCAAATTAGTGCAACCACTCTGGAAGCATTATGGAGATTCTTTAGAAAACTAGTAATGGAACCAGCAATATGAACCAGCTATCCCATTCCTTGGTATATATCCCAAAGATTTAAAATCAGCATACTGCAGTGTTGCAGCCACATCAATGTTTTAGCAATTTTTAAAAGTCCTAGGTTGAATGTTTTCTCTGATATGCAGAAGGGAATTCAAAATAAAGGATCAGAGAGAGATTAAAAAAGAAAAGGAAAAGAGAAAAAAGAAAAAGGGAGAAGGAATTTCATCAAAATGAGGAAATATCATTAGAATAGATGAAGGGGATTGAAAGAAGAAAAGGGAAGAACAGTGGAATGTGAAAAGGAAAAGGGAAGAACAGTGGAATGAATCTGACTGAACTTTTATATATGCATGCATGGATATGGCACAGTGGGTCCCAGCATTGGGTATATCCACAGGACACAAATTAAAAAAAAAAAAGTAAACCGTAAATAGTTTAAAGAAAGATTTCTGGAGTGGAGGGAAGACAGGGGAAGGCAGTGCTGGGGACTGAATTGGAGTGGGTTGTATTACATGCTTTTGTGATTATGTCAGGGTGTCCTCTGGTGTTGTATATGACTAAAAAGATTTTTTTTTTAATTTAAAAAAGATATAGGTTGGCCAGGCATGGTGGCACGTGCCTGACCAGTGGCTCAGGAGGCTGAGGCAGGATTGCAAGTTTGAAGCTAGCCTAAGCAAAATCGAGGAGCTAAGCAACTCAGTGAGACCCTGTCTCTAAAGAAAATACATAATTGGGCTGGGGATGTGGCTCAGTGATTGAGTGACCCTGAGTTCAATCCCCAGTATCAAGGAAAAAAAAAAAAAGATATAACTTAACTGCCTATCAGCTTCTTCAATAGTATGCATGAAGATCTCATAATTAACATGTAAAAATGAGATATTAAAAAAAATATGAAAGCAAATAGTAAGTAGAGGCAGGAAATTATCAGTCAACATAAAGCATATCCAAATTACAGAAAGGCCTTCTTGAGGAGCTGAGTCTAATAATAATAATAAATTCCTCTATTCTACTTCCACCCTTAAGAAAATCTTTGTCTCCATTTTCCTTTGTTCCAGTTCAACCAAAGCTTTTTTTTTTTTTTTTTAAACAATTCTTCCCATAGAGGACATTGATCATCCTCCCCACATTAACACTTGGTAGTACCAGACATGGTGTTGTACCCTTATAATTCCAGCTACTGCAGAGGCCTAGGCAGGAGGATCCCAAGTTAGAGGTCAACCAGGGCAACTTAGCCAGATTTTTGTCTTAAAATAAAAAGTAAAAAGAAGCCAGCTGTGGTGGCTCTCCTGTAATTCCTGCAACCTGAGAGAATGAAGCAGGAGCCTGATGGTTAAGTTTTGAGGCCAACCTCAGCGACTTGGCAAGGTCCTAAAACAACTTAGAAAGACCCTGTCTCAAAAATAAAAAGTAAAAAGGACTGGGGATGTGGCCAATGGTCAAAATCCCCTGGGTTCAATTCCCTGTACCCCAAAAGAATAAATAAACAAAAAGGGGCTAGGGAAGTAGCTCCGTGTTAAAGCACCTTGGGTTCAATCCTCCAGTATGGGGGAGGAAGGGAACCAACCAAACAGAATAACTTGGTAGACTGGTTCTTTTAATTTCACATTCTCCAAAGAGGGGACAGAAAGGGTAGTAATTTTAAGAATGATGATACTTCTCTTCCTACAAGATTTACATCTTTCACAATAAATAAACTCATTCAAATCAATTATATAAATAATTTTAGTCTTGGGGCTTCAAAACCTCCCAGAGGTGTGCAAAATGCCCCCGCAAAAGAGAAGTCAGGCAGGTTCAACAAAATAGCTTATGTGTATGACTTCTGCACAGGGAAATATTAAGAATCACTTAAGGAGGAAACTCCTGAAAATGAGAATTTTCTCAGACTGCTAACTGGTGGGGTCTAAGAGGTCAGAGGTCTTCTCACTGGAAACTCACACTAGTCAGGCACCAGATTTCTGGATCACTCCTCCCATCCTCAACCTTTCAATATTAAAAGGATCTTTCCTGGGCTCTGTCTTCATACTTGTATCTACTCAGGTCTATCACTCAGCTATTCAGCATGTATGCTGCTGTCAGGCATAGCGCTTGGTGAAGGGCATACAGAAAAGCGCAGTGCCTGCCTTCAAAAGAGCTCACAACAGTAGAAAAAATTGTAAATAATTACTCCACAAAGTGGTAACATGTTTTTGAAAGCAGATGAGAGGAAGAAGTGAGTCAGACTCAGCACTGCCTGAGTCTTAAAAAGGATGAGGAAGAAGAGCAGGCCATTTCAGCAAAAAGGCGTGATCACAGGGACAGTGTGTGCTGGGGCTGTTTGAGGCCAGCAAAGACCGTGGCTGAGAAGCACTCTTGTGGGTAGAACTGGGGAGCAGTGAGTAGAGCGAAAGCCCAGGCCTCGGTGGGGCAAGGTGGCCTCAGATCCCGTGGCCTTCCAGGGGTCGCTGCTCACAGCCAGCTTCAGACCAGTGGGTCTCAGCTCCAAACCGAGTAACGCGAGGGGCGGTGACACCCTCCCTCCCGATCCCCGCGTCCCAAACTCAGCCCAGCAGGCTGCTCACACCTTGCCTAGCAGCCGTCTCACACTCTCGCAGTCGAACTCCATCTCTAGCCAGATCCCGGAGCACGGTTCCAGGACCCCAGCCTCAGTACCTTCTTCCGCAACCTCTCCAAGACGGAAGCCGCGGAGGTCCAACCCTGCCTAGCAGTCTAAGGGCCCGCCCCTTCCCAGACGAAATTCCAGCCGCATTCAACCCGCAGGCTCAACTGGGACTCCGCCCAGAGACTGAAGCGCTGAGCAGTCAGGTAAGGAAAGGGCGGCTAGAACCGCGTGGGCAGAAAGCGAACCTCCCGCAGCTTGCTGGAAGGAAACCCAGACAGTTCTGAAAAGAGGAGTAGGAAGGACTTGTGTAGAGGTAGCAAAAGACGTAGAAGCAGCATGCGATTTTGTAGAAATGTGTTTAATTCAACCGAGTACCAGAAAAAAAATCAAGACCGAAAATTGTAGTAGGATATGGGGAGGAAGAGGTAGTGGAAATTTAAAAGCTAAATTTCAAAGAGTAGAAAGGGAAAACAGGTGGAGTCTTGTCAGGTAACAGATAAGAGTGAAGATGATGCAGCATGAGGGAAAGAGTTTGTAGTAGTTCCTTTTTTTTTTTTTTTTTTTTTGGACTTTTGCCAAAACTGTTAGTGGTTGAGAGAAAAAACCCTGTTGGAGGGAGGGCAAAAGTTTGAAAACTAGAGAGGGAGGAGATTAGTGGATATAGTCGTCTGGAAGGGGAAGGTGAAGAATAGATGGAGAATACTATAATTTTCTGGTGTTATTCAGTCTCCTTGACTTGTGAGGCGACTTATCTTCCCTGAACCCCTGACTTGAGGCGCTGGGGCTAAAAAGTTGTAGTAGCTGGCTATTGTAGTTATCAAGAGGTTTGTCAGTCAGGAAGGTGATTGTATTTATAGGAAGAGCCAAAAGTAGGGATGCTGTGACTCAATAAGGAGAAGACAGTGAAAAGCTGGAGCATTTCTTAATCCATTTAGTGCCAACTTTTCAGTTCTGTGAGTATGCCAATGAAATTGACACAAGTGCATTGGCACAAAGGTTATTTCCCCAGCAACGGGGGGGAGTAAGTCATATTGGGACTGATTAAGTGTGGTGAAGAATAAAAATTTTAAATGATAAAGAAGACCAGGGTATATCTCATTGAGAGGTGAGGAGATGAGTGTTCAATTAGAGGGCAACCAAAGCAAAGTCCTATGACAGGAATGTGTTTGGGGAGGCTCAAAACAACAAGGAGGCCCAAATGGCTGGAATAAAATGAAGTAAGAAGTGAGCAAGCAGAGATGGAAGTCAGAGAAAAAAAGCAGGAAGGAGAGATGGTTTACATAAGTGATTCTTCAATGTGGTCTCAGATAACAACCTCTGTATCACCTGGAATGTGTTAGAAATGCAGTTCTTTTTAAAAAAAAATCAATTTTATCAATAGACACAAACATTATATATATTTATTGTTTACAACATTTTGTTTTGAAATATGCATGCATTGTATATTTCAGTGTATATTCTTAGAAATTAATGGTTAAATCATTTCTAAGACCCCACTCCTACTCCTGATTTATTTAATCAGAAACTCTGGGGATCCCCAGCTATCTGTTTTAAACAGATTTCCAGGCGATTCTGAGGTCATATCAAAGAGCCACTGTGGGGCTTTGTAGACAATTTTCAGGACTGTGTTTTTTCCCTCCAGCCAGAGACCATCAGGAACACACCTGTGTTTAAACAAAGTGGATTTATTACTCCATGAAATAAGGGGGAAAGTATTGTGGGGAACCATTGGGACAGCTCAGTAAGAGTGTTAGAAAGAAACTATTATAGGATCTGGGTAACTTGGGGAAGGTTTTAAGGAAACAAATCTTCACTCTGGATTGTATCCTGTTAGAAAGCAGGGACATTTCTGTGACTGGAATATCTCAATAAATATTATCTGTAAGATGAACAAAATAGGGTGAGGATAAAGCTACAATTGGTAAAGAAACATCAGTCAGTTTTATTAGAGAGAGGAGAATGTTTGGTATTTCATAGATTACACGGTGACCTTGTTCTTGTCTTTGTTCATACAAAATTAAGTGGCCCTGCTGAGTCTCACTTCTCATGATCTGAGTGACTATGTTTGGGTTGGTGTTCTGTGAAATGGTTTATGTGCAACAGAAGAATAACCTGGCAGCTGGGTGCAGTGGTACATGCTTGTAATCCCAGTGGCTCGGGAGGCTGAGGCAGGAGGATCACAAGTTCAAAGCCAAGTTCAGCAAAGTAGCAAGGCCCTAAGCAACTTAGTAGGACCGTGTTTCAAAATTAAAAATTAAAAAACGGTTGGAAATGTGACTTATTTTTTAAGTGCCTCTGGGTTAAATCCCCAGTACCAAAAAAAGAAGACGAAAGAACAACCTGACCTCTCTATGAGTGCCAGGCCAGCTTCTAGCAATACTGAGGTCTAGCTATTGTCAGACCAGCTCCCTTATGTTAGGGTTTTTTTTTTTTTCTTTCTCGGGCTTTCATTTTGACAGAAAGAAAAGCCACTGGAAGGTTTTGAACACAATGATTTGATTTAATTAAGTTTTTGTTTCTGTTTTTGTTTTCTGTATGTGTTGTGCTGGGGATCAGACCTCAGTGCCTTGCACATGCTAGGCAAGCACTTGACCACTGAACTACATCCCCAGCCCTTCTGATTGTATGAAAGTGCACTCAGCCAGATCAGATACACCTTAGAAATAGTAGGACTTCCAGGGGCTCCACAGTTTAACGAATCCTGTCAAAAATCTATTAATCAAGGAAAAGGTTAGCAGCAAGACCTGAACAAGTTTCTTTCATCTTTTATGAAACAGCCTTTTATGGAAGTGGCCTTCCATCCAAAACACCAGTTCTCTTCTAATATAGTCACTATGAATACTGTTTGTGTGTATGTGTGATTTCCTTTGTGGAAAGTACAAGAGTTTAATGGGTTTTATCTTAGTTAATCTTTATAAAAACTTATGACCTGGATAGAATTAGTACATCAGTTTTACTGATGATGAAACTGAGGATTAGTGTTATATTAACTGTTTTTTGTTTCTGAGAATCATTTTTTTTCCCAAAGGCACCAGGGATGTTTAAGCACCGAGCCATATCCCCAGCCCTTTTTGTTAAAATTCTGATTTGTTATACATGATGACTGAATGCAATTCATTTCATATTACACATACAGAACACAATTTTTCAAGACACTGGTTTGTACACAAAGTATTTTCACACTATATGTGTCTTTTACATGTACATAGGGTAATGATGTCTAACTCATTCCACCTCCTTACCCCCTCCTTTCCCCTCTCTTCCCTTTGTCCTATCTAAAGTTCCTCTATTCCTCCCATGCTCCCACACCCCAGTCGCCATTATGCATCTGCATCCTCATATCAAAGACATCATTCTGCCTTTGTTTTTTTTATCCCCAGCCTTTTTTTTTAAAAGAGAGAGAGAGAGAGAGAGAATTTTTAATATTTATTTATTTAGTTAGTTAGTTTTTGGCGGACACAACATCTTTCTTTGTGTGTGGTGCTGAGGATCGAACCCAGGCGAGCGCGCTACCGCTTGAGCCACATCCCCAGCCCCTATCCCCAGCCTTTTTTATATTTTATTTAGAGACAGGGTATCACTGAGTTGCTTAGGGCCTTGCTAAGTTGCTGAGGCTAGCTTTGATCTCATGATCCTCCTGCCTCAGCCTCCCGAGCTGCTGGGATTACAGGTGTGTGCCACCATGCCCGGGCTCTGAGATCCATCCTTATAAGTAAAAGGTATATTAATATGATAGCTTTGGGGTGGGAGAAAAAAAACTACAAAATTAAATATGAATACTGACTTTAATATGTATATTTATTTCAAAAGAGCTTGAGTATGAAAAAGTGTTCATCTTAAAATAGAATATATGTAGTGTAATAAGCTTCATTTTACAGACAGGGAAGCCAAAGACTCAGGTTAAATTATTGTATGTAATGTCAAAAAACATATTCCTAATCTATGTATTATACCGCCTTTTATTGTGTGAAACTGTGATGAGATTGTGATTGGTAATAATTTAGAGTATAGTACCTGTCTACCGTACACAAGGCCCTGGGTGGGTTCAGTCCTTACCACTGCAAATAATGATTTAGGAAGTCTGAACTCTGTGCCTGTTGACATTTAGTTACAAAAGGAAGGTATATAATACAAATTTATGCTTTTTGAAGCCACCCTCTGACTTCTAGACTGGCCACCCTCTCTCCTGAAACTGGTGCTATTAGATCTCAGCAGGCTGAAACATTCAGTCTTCCCCAATTACATTTTATTCTTCCTTGCCTCATGCCTTAGTGCCTGCTAGAATATTTGATTGTACTAGAGTACCTGTCTACCTTCATTTCCACTTTCTTTCACTTTCTTTCTATCCACAAAGACTGTGAGGTCCTGTAGAATAGAAGTCACATTTCATTCATCTCTATGTTCCCAGTGCCTTATATGTTTGAATATATGCATTTATTTGTGGGAAGCCATTCTAACACGTGATTGGGTGACTCCCGTTAAGGATCTGAGGCGCTTTGGCTATGTCGAAGCTTTCCCGACCCTTTCCTGATGAGAGAGCCCATCCGTGTGGGGGTGTGCCTGACCACTGACCCCGGGGACCCAATCACTGACCCTGACCTTGGAGTGCAGCACCCCCCCACCCTTCATTGGATGGAATTCTCCCCTAAATCTCTTGTTCCCCAATAAAAGGCTAGACCCCGGCGTGTTCACTCTCTCTCTCCTGCTAGCCCTGAGTAATCCTTACTGCCCTACTGGGCGGTTAGAGGAGCGAACCAGAGAGGGGAGCCGTCTAGGACCTAGCAATAGAAATAAGGTAACTGAGTCTGTGTGTTTTATTTCGATCTCTTCTAACTAACTTTATGCCTAGAACCTCATTAATGAAACCGTTGCGCAGGCCGCGTGGTAGATTTATTAATTCTACTAATATTTAGTAAGCCAGATATAAAGAGAACTTCAATAGAAAGTTTGCTGAATGAAAGAAAGCGTAGGGAAATAAATGTATATTGTATTAGTTCTCTTTT